ATCACTATTGCCAAGAAGAAAAGCTCACCACCTCAAGGATATATTCAGCCTTATGATGTTCGGAATGAACAAGATCTAACCACGGACGTAAGAGTGTCGCCTTACATCAGAGATGACACACTGAAATAGAAATTAAATTCGAAGTAAATGCTCAAAATGGCAGAGTCTCGTGCTGATAACGCATTATAAAATAAAGACTTTAAAGTAAAGAAACCGAAGACAAGTAGAGAGAGAGAGAGATTATTATTCGAATTCAAATTCATGTATATAGCGAACTGAATCTCCTCTATTTATAGAAGAAAGGAAGCTGCTGTGTAAGCTGCTACTGCAACCTGTTGTGTAAGCTGCGTGTAAGCTGCTACTGCAAGCTGCTTGTAAGTTGCTACTGCAACCTGCTGTGTAAGATGCTTGTAAGCTGCTACTGCAAGCTGCTGTGTAAGTTGCTTGTAAGTTGCTTGTAAGCTGCTATTGTACCAGATCTAGATAATCTTCTACCAGGGGTAATATTTATCCATAACGGAGTAACCGAAATGATAAGCTTCTTAAGGAGGCTTATTTCCAATAGAGTACCAAATAGATAAACATATTTACGACGGAGTCCCATATGGATAAGCTTTTTCAGGAAGCTTATTTACAACGGAATACTAAATGAACATCCATAATATAATATATTTATAACAAGAAACATATTGTGGATGCATTGATTAATACACCTACAAACTTTTTATACGAAAGATTCCTACATAGTTCCTCCAGTCTGTTGTAGTCATTCCATAATCCACAATTCCTATTAATGGAATACTTAATTAAAAATTTCTCATTGAGTACTTGTATAGTGTTGTTGAAAAAATGGATTGAATCTCAAAATTCTTGGTTATTATAAATAAATATATAAAGTTCTACTCAAATGTCCAGCTTACTATAATATGAATTAGGTCAACTCTAATCTACAATAAGCAATGCAACTGCTAAACTTATCCTTTCCTGGTGGGCCCTATCCTTGACCAACCAAAGTTATTTCCCTTTGGCCCCCACATACACACACCTACATTTTTTTCTTGATCTCCATTGATTGTAATAATTCTCTTATTCAACATTTTTTGTTCTATCTATATATGCTTCTAAATTAAAATTAATAATTCTCTTATTACACATTATTTGTTCTATCTATATATGCTTCTAAATTACTTTACATATTTTCTGCAAAATATACAGAGAACTACTAGCTAAAGCCACCACGTATTTTTATTTAGATATTTCTAATTAAGTATTATCTATTAAACACCTAAATTATTTTTAAAATTGCATATTGAACAATTAATTGATAGTCTCTAACTAAAATAAAGCATGTGATATTTACACGCGACTGATATGGAAAATCACCTAATAAAATGTGACATGTGGCTAATCTCAAACATATTTTCAATATACTTTAGGTGTTTAATAGGTACAGACTCAGTTGATGTGTTTATAAAAAAAAATACGTGAGGCATAGATAAGGGTGTTTTCTGGGCCGGTCCCTGGCCTAAATGGGCCAAACGGTCCGGTCCTTACGGTCCCGAACTTTGGCGGGCTGTGCTTTGGCGGTCCCGGGCAAAACGGTCCCGGGCTTCACGGGCCTAATGGGTGGAACCGGCCCACTGTGGGCCTAAGACCACGCACGGGCCTAAGTGTTCCGAGCTATTTTTTTAAATTTTTTTTATCTAAGGCATTTTCTTGTAAATTATCTATATATATATATATATATATAGCCTTATATAATTTCTTGTAAATAATTCCATCTAGTCGGACAAGCTTTAGGAACCTTTCTCTCTCTAAGGACAAATTCATCACATTTTTTAAAATATTCTCTAAGTCTACTTCTACGGTTTGAATAAAAAAGCCAATTAAGAGCCATTTTAACCTTTTCAATTTCCAAATTTAAAATTTTCATACCATCACCGACGATTAAATGGTAAATATGACAAATACATCTAATATGGAAACAATTACTAAATGCAGGATTTAGTGTAATTGTAAGCAAGCCTATAGCATTAGTGTTACTAGAAGCATTATCCATAGAAATTGACATTATTTTATCTCTAATGCAAAAATATCTACAAATATCTGCAACTGTGTTAGCAATAAACTTACCTGTGTGACGTGAATTAATTATTCTATAAGCAATAATGCGTTTTTGCTTCCATTCTTCATCAATCCAATGAGTGGTTACAGTAAGATAATCACAGTCATTACCACTTCTTCCAATATCAGTGGTAATAGCAATGCGACAATCTATATGAGTAAATAAATACCGCAAATATTGTTCATATTCATGTTTATATTTATAAATATCGCTCTTTACGGTTGCGCGAGGCCATCCTTTATAAGTAGGATTAATAATGCACAAAGTGAGGGTTAGAAGGAAAACTATAGGGTAAGCACATAACAGTAACCATTTTTGCTAATTCTTCACGATCTTTATTTGGATCGTAATATAAAATGCCACCGGTAACAGTGTTTATTCCCGGTTGAACTAGATTTGACCCGGTACTAGGGTTAACCTCAGTACCTACACTTCTCCCCTCTAGTTGCGCTTTCATTTGAAGATATCTAGCTTTATCTCTAGGGTGTGTCCTTATGTGTCTAGTCAAAGTACCCGTACCGCTACGGTCTCCAGCAAATTTATGAGCCATCAAAGACCCACAAGTTTTACACTTATCCTTATTTTGTTCTCTTAGTTGAGTAAAAAAGTTCCAAACAAGAGATGTTTCGGGGCGTTTAGAACGTTGTCTATTAAAAGTAGGGGTTACTACATGAGGGTCAGGCGGGGCATCATTTGGATTATTATCAGTTGGGTTAACAACATGACTAGTAGGTGTATCATCTAAATCCGATTGCGTTTCATCTAAATCTTCATTTTCCTCATCATTTTCATCAATAGTTTCATTACGATAAAGAGCATTCATATATTCATCATTTAATTGTTGACCTGGTGCAACATCATGGCAAAATGGACTATCACTAAATTGAAAACAAGTGTTATCACTATCAAGAATAATAGGTGGAGGAGGACGGGTAACAGGTCTGGGTCGGGGAGCCGGGGGAGGGGTAGTAGCTTGGCGACTAGATTCACCAATTAGATTTTCCCTTACCACCAAACATTTTTTTCAAAGAAAAGGCCATATTAATTATAATTATACAAACTAAAACAAACAAAACTATAATATTAAAACTTAAGAGTTGGAACGAGTTTACCGAATTGACGAACAACTTCTTGAAAATTGTATATCGTTGAAGACTTGAAGACTTCAATTCACCAACTTCACAATTTTTCACAAATTGTAATAATAAAGTAAGCAATTATAGAAGAAAATTAGAGAGAGATTGATGATTTTGTGAGTAAAAATGAAAGAATGAGGGGGTATTTATAATTGAGAAAAGAGAAAAAGTGTAATTATAAAAAGTTTGGGGTTAAAACAAAGTTTGGGGCCAAATGGCTATTTTTTAAAATGCCAAACGGCTGAGATTGCAGGCCAACGGCTACTTTTTAAATTTCTAACCGTTGGCCTTTTTTTTTAAATTTTTTTTTTTTGAAAAGTTATCGTGGGGCCCGTTTGGCCTGTTAGGCCCGGTTGAACCGGCCCAAGCCCGCCTGCCGGGCCCGGGCTCGCGGTCTATTTGGGTAGGATCGGCCCACAGTGGGTCTTAAAGACCGTTTGAGACCTGCCCATTTGAACCGGACCGTTAGGCCCGTGGTCTCGCGGTCCCGGGCTGGGCCTGGCCCACAGTACAACATTAGGTATAGACTCAATTGATGTGTCAAAATTATGTGTTATTTATGTATATGGCCTTAAAATTTAAAAATAGGGGTAGTTGGAGTCTGACATGGTCATGGGCGGCCTCATTTGTCCAAGCACTATATTTGCAATTTTTCTTTTCCAAATAGCGTTGAATCACGTATTAAAGAATTCCCAGTATCTTACAAAAATGAAACTTCTTAGGTCAAAACTAAAATACTCATTTTTCCTCTTTTAATAGTAGTATTTATCTTTTTTAAATAATCTTTTAAATATTTTTACTTATAAAAGAGATGCAACTTTTTTTATTACATATTTATTAAATTTCTATAAAAACATTAATGTTTGAATTCACACAGTACAATTTGTTTCTTTGCTTTTTCAAATTACCCTCTGTTCGAGGAAAGTGATAGGCTACACCAACAAGGGTTGTGGTGGAGTGGTAAGTACTGTTTCATCTTTAATCAGAAGTCTCGGGTTCGAGTTTCTGGGTATGGAGTCGCCTTTGTTAGGGAGCGTTTTACCTTCCAATGTCAATGTGGGACTTCCCGGTGCGAATCCGGATTTAGTCGAGCCCCAATGTGGGTACCGGACACCGAATGGAAAACCCAAAAAAAAAAAAAAAAAAGAATAGGCTACAACTTGTGACATCCCTTGGACCATTTCTTTTAGGCTAGTTCTTGCCATATTTGTTTGCATTAGTCTCTATTTTGGAAACTATCTAGGAAAATAAGAGAACCTAGGAGGAGGAAAAATGGAAAATGTAGTATTTTCATTCCTTTGTTTGATTTCGATGGAAACAAGGAAAGAGAATTAATATTTGACTTTTCTTTCTCATGAATTCAAGTTTGTGGATTCAAGAAGAATTAAATTTTGTTTCCTTTTCTATTTTTCATTTCAGATGAATTCAGATAATTGAAATAACATAATAAAGAAGGAAAAGGTTAGAAACTTAACTTAACAGCCTCAACTAGACCTCAAAACTCCTGACAGACTTCTACCTTTGCAAGACTTAAATCAGACAAAAGTTCTAACGGTAATATATTAAATGGAATTTACCAGTACCAGCTCTTGTTTCTCCTAACCATTAGATCAACGGTCCAAAGCTGGTACAAGAGAGGAAAGCCAGCAATAAAATTCACATAAACTAAAATGCATTTTCGACATTTGAAAAGGCAACTGCTGATGAGGGATACTGCCCCAGAATTAAGAGGCATCATATATCTAGCAAAGGCATTTCTATCCATTCAATTCAACGTACTCAACAGTACATATAGCCCGCGAGCATGACTTTGTCTCCCTTAATTGTCATTAACCAAATTAGCAGAATAAGGTACTTATCAAATGACGAAATCAACTACAGATACAGTTAGAACTAAAACATACTGCATACTGTGCAACGGAATTTCAAATCCTGCTTTAACCTAACAAATTGACATTAACAAATACAGTCCTTAGAGGTAGCTACCCTGCCTCCAAGTCTAAGCGCATCTTCGTCCTGTCACCAACAACTAGCTCCGCACTGAAACTTCCTTGATTTTCATGGTTTCCAGCCTTAAATAATGTTCACCTGAGTTTAAGCATTGCCTCCATATTCCTAATCTCTGCGACAACTTCTTTTATCAATTTTGCTGCACTGGATTCCCCCCTGCTGCTGCTAACTCTTCTAACTCTTGCAATGCTGCCAGAGCAATTGCTGGCGATTCAGCATTTAAGCATGGCTTCAGAGCGTTTGCTGCTTCCTTGATTCTTGATTGCTACCAATGTTTTCAACATGGATAATATCAACACAACGGTACAAGAGTAGATTAAATTAAAATACTACTCACAGAGACTTACCATGTGTTCAAGTCTGCCCTTTAGTTCTTCATAGGCCACCACCAACTTGGGGTCCGAAACTGCAGGGGATGTCACATTCTAGGAAACAGGATATTTGCAAGGATTAAATTGGGAATAATTCAAACATGTGAAAATATTGCACCAAACTCAAATACGAGAGAGATCTATCATTGCCATAATCCATCCCAAGCCAAAGAAAGAACAACAAAGTTGAAAGAAAACCTTTCGTATGCAGAAGCAAATTCGTATTGGTTCAAAACCATTCTCTCAAACAGCGATAAATATTCTTTTTTTTATTGGTAAGCATCATCATCTCTTCTTTGTTTATTTATTTATCTATTTATTCAACTGTTTATTTTTGACAAGTATAAAAGCATCATTATATCTCATAGATTCCAAATCAGCAAATATTTTTTTACAAGTAACCAAATCAACAAATATACGTTCTGCTCATTTTGCTTGAATTATACATTTAATGCCATCCTCCCATCCTCACCCACTATAACAGATTCAAATAAAAAATCTTATTTTGTTTCAGCAAGAAACACTGCATTTTGCTACTATTTTTAGGCAAAGTTAACACAGAGGCTGAGAGGCCATCGTCTCTTCTCCAGGAAACAAATAAACACATGTTTGACACTTAAGCTTTCACATGTAAAAAAACCGGAACACCAGAATAAAACGCCAGAGAGACAATGAGTTGCAACAGCTACAAATAAAAATAAACACAAGTCACACAAGAAAAGATGATGTTGGGAGCAAAGAAAAAGAATGCCAGAAGACAAGCTAGGAAATTCCATCATCCAGAGACCAACTTTCCTCATATAATGTATTTCTTAGCTTCAGTTAATTTCAATTTTTTTTTAATTGCCAAATTAGACGCAATTTCCTCTGAAGCATTTAAGCAATCTATAAGTTAGTTCTTTATAATCAACTATCCCCTATCTTCTAGATCTCTCCCAGGCTAATTGTCTCTTCCTCAATTAGCTTATTCCTCATTCCCGTGCTCTTCTCAGAACCAAGAAAGCAGTGATCCAGCCAGTACCAAGCAACAGTAAAAATGAAAACATACATGAAGGTGAATTTTACATATAGTTTGTTGGAATTTCTTTTCAAGGAAAAAAGGGGTAACCCCAACTTTATTTCCATTTCTCATCTAAAATGGATACTTGATACCTCTATTGTGAAGATCGTCAATTAGTTACTATTTATATCTTGAATTATCATTTTCCACTAAAAGCTAGGTCAGTGTACTTCTCTCCTCTAGGAAGCGTCACACATGCTAAACTTGTACAACTTTTCCTTTCCTCATTCTTGTTATATACTAATCACAACCTATAAGAAAGGGAACCCTGGAGCAATGGTAAAGTTATCTTCGTAAAATCCGCCATTGATACTTGCACCAGAAGTTGGGGTGCGGCCCTTCCTGGACCCTGCGTGAACGCGGGATGCTTTATGCACCGGGCTGCCCCTTTTTACTAATCACAACCTATACATGTCCAAAAAATAAACGACGCACAATTACATTTTCTTTTTTGGTTCATTTAGTATCTCTACGGATCAAGCTAAAGAAAATATGATCCAGAGCAAAAGAATTCAACACATCTTTTACTTTCCATAATTTCCTCACTCTCGCTAACTGTATTCGGGTACTATTACCACCTATATATTTTTAAGAAATGGACGACAATTAATATCTTTTCTTTTATAAGGGATAAAAAACAGTATCTTGGATCTTTTACCTTAATCTATGGCAAAAAGGAGAATCATAATATGGTCAACAAGGAAAGAAAAAACTAACTTAACATCCCTATTATTATGCAACCACAAAACTTCCCATATTTTTATGGAAAGAAGCATAAATACCAAAAGATAACCCATGTATTATGGAAATCCTACACAAATATAACAAGTAATTATTAAAAAACAAATAAAAAGTTCTTATGTATTCAAGTTAATGAAATTTAAGAAGATAAACATTTTTATTTAACATTTTAGTCACACTTTTATTTAGAAAAGAGGACAGACTTTTGGAAACATGTGTATTTTTCAAAACTCTTAAATAGGAAATGACTACATAATTGTATTAAAAATGATTTTCTTACACTTTAAACATGCAAACTAAACATGTAAAGAATTTCTCATTTTTATTTTAGTTTGCTTATCTATTATTCCGCTTCAAATTATCTTAATTTATTTACTAATCCAAAAAAAATTATCTTATATTTACTAAGTTAGATGAACGTTAAATGTTGTCATTAAAATAAAATAGGGATAACATAATTATATTTGAGTAAGATGTCCATAGTATAGAGGATGTACATGTAAAATTTTAAAATACAGGGGTGTATCTGCAATTGAGTCAAGTGTAATTTACCCTATAAATAAAACCTATATCAGTGCCAAATTGTTAACACTTTATTCTCCAACCAAGACAAGACATCAACAAACATCACCCTTCGTGTAATGCTTTTCCTGCTGGTTTAGGGCGGAAGTTGGGTGCAATCACCACTAAAGCATAGTGAGACATTAAATAAAGCAAGTAAATACACTAAAGTAGTAGTTATACCTTTCTAGGTCGACCCAGAGGTTTTCCAGAAAGCTTCCTGGGTCTCTTAACAGTAGGAGCAGCGGCTGTAGCGCTGTAAGATTTTGGAGGCCGTCCACGCCGCTTTCCGAGGGGAGGCATAGCCCCATTATTTGTGACGCCACCACCAACAGCATTAGGCAAGTTTTGGGTTTCAAAAGCAGCAGCAATAGGCACATCTGTAACACCCACAGTAGCAGTAGGAGGTCCACTAGACCTTGGTGGCCGTCCCCGTCGTTTAGGTGTCGGAATGGCTCCACTCGGGACACCACCAACTGGAACATTGGTCACATTGGCACCAACAGAAGGAATATTTGCGACATTGCCACCGTCATTGGCAGCAGCAACAGCCGCATTCTTCCTGGGCCGACCTCGTCGTCCAGGAGCAGAATTTTTCCTGGGCCGACCTCGTCGTCCAGTGCCCATAGCTGATCCAGGAGCAGCAGCATCAACTGTCGTACTCTTAGGAGGACGACCAGGTCTCCTCTTAGTACCACCGCTCTGGTCCGGTAATTTGGGTTCCACGGATTTAACTACACTGGAGCCATCCTTACGGGGACGACCTGGTCGTCTCTTCGTCGTACTCTCTTCAGCTCCCGGTGCCGGAGCTAGCCCAACAGCAGGATTCTGAACTCCAACCGGCCCATCAGCTAGCCCAAGAGAAACAAACACGGATTCGGCACCAAGGCCCGCATAATTTTGGGCTTCAGTAGCAGCATAGGCCTGCGTCTGTGGCTGGGTCTGGAACTGTTGCTGAGGTTGGAGTAACGGGTCGGGCTGGAACTGTTGTTGAGGTAAGTACTGGGGCTGTTGTTGGATGAATTGAGGCTGGGTTTGGAATTGAGGTTGAAACTGGGCTGCTTGCTGCTGTTGGGCTTGAAGTTGGGCTTGAAGCTGGGCTTGAAGCTGGGCTTGGAATTGGTCTTGAAACTGGACTTGAGCTTGGACTTGAGGTTGGGCCTCGGGTTTGAGCTTAGGAGGACGACCAGGTTTCCTTTTAGTAAGAGAAGAAACATCAGTACCAACACCGTTGGAATCAACGTCGGCGGGAGGAGGAGGAGGAGGAGGAGCAGATCCAGGTGGTCCGGCAAGCATGTAAGAGTGTTTAACCATAGCAAGGTAGCCACTGTTCTTCAAACGCTTAAGATGGTGAGTCAACAAGGCTGAGTGATTCGGTGGAAGATTTGTGTAGACTCGATCTATATACTTAGCTATGGCTATCCTGCTTGACCCATCCCTCTCCTTTAACGCCGTTATCGCCGCCGTTATCATCTGTCATAGTTGGAAAAAAAAAAAATCAATCCTTTAGTCAAAAAAGAAAGAAAAAAAATCCACAAAATTTTCTCAAACAAGAGTAGCGTACCTCAGCATAAGGCGGGTGGGTAGGCGAAAAGAAAGGGGCAGGGGGAGGGGGTTGAGGAGAGGTAGGGGTAGGGGTAGGAGCATGGTTTACAACTTGAGCTGAATTAAACGTCGGTGGTTCGGTGGTCGTCGGTAGATCCATGGATGGGTCCATAAGGGCATGTATGTAATTTACAAATAAGCTTTGTGAAGATCCAGAAATGGTGAAATTGAGAGGAGAAATACAAGAAAAGAAAGTGGGTGTATAGTATAGAGAGAGAAAATAATAAGAAAAATAAAAGGTTTAGGTGGGGGAAGGAAGAGATTTGGATTGGACCGTTGGAGGAGCGGATGCGTACAATCACAGCCAAAAACCTAAGGGGGTAAGATCGGATTTAAGATGACAATTTTTGCGGATTTAAGTTTTTAATAAAGCAATTGTCTGACCTGTGTCCTTATCTGCCCCCCTTTTTTAAATTATGTTTGCATCTGTTATTTTCTGTATTTTCGTTTTCACCCCTCCTGACTTTTTATTGCCTTTTTGGACCACTAACTCAAATTTTCTCTTTATTTTCTTTCAAATAGTAATGACTTAAATTTGAAATCTATACCTTCGGTTTATTTTTACTTGGTACGTTTTGACTTTTCATGTCCATTGAGAAATACTCCATCTGTTCCAATTTATGTGAACCTATTTCCTTTTTGATCCGTTCCAAAAAGAATGAACTCTTTCTTAATTTGGTAACAATTTAGCTTAAGCTTACAATTCTACTCTTAATGAGAAGTTTTTATAACCACACAAATACTCTGGGTCCCTTTTTGACTTGTTTAGGACCACAAATTCCAAAAGTCTTCATTTTTTCTTAAACTCCGTGCCCAGTCAAACAGGTTCACATAAATTGGAACGGAGGGAGTAATAAATAAAGTACATGATTTACTATGATACCAATATTAATTTATGCTTATTTTATTGAATTCGAAAAAATAATTTTAATTGAGTAATAATACTATGAGTATAACAGGAAAAAAATTTGTCTTCTCTTGATATACGTAAAATGTCAAGTAAAATAAAAATTTATTTTTAATATAGATACCAAGTAAAAATGAATGGAGGGAGTATTACTTTTTTTTTCTTTTATTGACGGAATTTCAAAAAGTTTCTAAAAAAAGAAATGCGTAGGCAAGTGGACTGTCCTGAAGGAAAATGAATGTAGGGCTTTACTAATGGAAATCTACAAACGCTTTCGAGTTATGACTAAAATGACAACATTTATTAATGTGTTTCTCTTGGATTGCGAAAATGTATTATTACCATCTAATCAAGGTTATCTATTCTTTTAACTCGAATCAATTTATAGAGTGGTTTTATTTTGTGTCTCACACAACTTATATTAGTTGTGTGAGGCCTCTTTTTATCTCACATATTTGTGGACTCATATCTTATACATTTGGGTCCACAAAATTTTGGGACCACACAATTGTGAGACAAAAAGAGACCTCATACAACTAGTGTTAGTTGTGTGAGACACAAAATAAATTTTTTCCAATTTATAGTAAAACTTTGACTTTGACACCCTAATGTTGCTGGGAGGAGCAAAAAGGGAAGGAGTTAGGAGGATGAGGAGGAGGAGGAAGAAGAGGAATAAAAAGGGAAAATGAACTTAACAAAAAAAAAAAAAAAAAGAGAGAAAATGAGAAAGGAAGGATGAAGAGAAAAGGTTATAAATAATGGAGAATTGTAGGATCCGTAGGGGTGTGCATTCGATTTATCGATTCGATTTTGACCCTTATCGATAATTACTTATCGATTATCAATTTGTACATATGCTTATCGTTATCGTTTCAATAAGGTTTCGATTTTTTCGATTTCGATTTTGGGGGCTTATCGATTCGGTTATCGATTACACCAATAAGAAAATTTGCGGGATTCCACGGAAAGTATATTGCTATAAACGCGCCTAACTAATATGGACAAAAAGAAGCTAAAATAAGACGAACACCATTTATAATATAAAATTGTGTCAACAAGCACATGCAACAAAATTAAAGTAAGGGATCAAATGTATGCCACCAATACTCCAACGGTATAAAAAAAATAAAACAAAACAAAACACATCATCACGGCTAATTCTGTTTTCCATTAATTTGAACTTCATTCCCTTGATCTTTAAATATGATCATTCCTTAAATGTGGTAGAGGAAATAATAGGGTAAGGGACTTAGGGTAAAGGAAAGGGTATAGATTAAGGAAAATAATATTGTATAGCCGCTTTCAAAATAGTAGCGGAATATATATACATTCTTTATGTTATATTAATCTACACAAATAGGTAATTACTCATTTAACAAGTGTCTACAGTCTAGGGGTGTGCATTCGATTTATCGATTCGATTTTGACCCTTATCGGTAATTACTTATCGATTATCGATTTGTACATATGCTTATCGTTATCGTTTCAATAAGGTTTCAATTTTTTCGATTTCGATTTCGATAACAAATAATCGATTCGATTTATCGATAAACCGATTCGAATGCACACCCCTAAGGATCCGCAAGTTGCACTTGTACTATATATTATTTGGGAAATAACTTTTTTATTACAGTTCTTTATGTGCTTGGATAATTTGAATTGAAATTTTAAAAATAATTTGAAATTATTAGTTAAAGAAATGTCTAGAAGTGATTGTATTTCGAAAATTCTAGCGTTTTGACTAAATAATTACTATGAAATTTGAAAAATTGGAAGTGAAAGTTAAATATTTTTTAGAAAAAAAAAAACTTCACATGAAAATTGAAACGCACCTCTAAGCAACCATTTTCAACTAGAAATATATACTGTAATTAAATTGAAGTTCAGATTGTTTACCCTGGAATCCGGATAACAATTGAATTTATATGGGGTTTTAAGGATCCGTGAACTAAAAGATACAAAAGGTTTGGATTGAGGAAAATAAAAGATAAAGACTCAACATATTTACCCTGGAATCCGGATAACAATTGAATTTATATGGGGTTTTAAGGATCCGTGAACTAAAAGATACAAAAGGTTTGGATTGAGGAAAATAAAAGATAAAGACTCAACAATTGCTGTTAAAGTAAATAATCGCAGAATATAATATTGCTTAGAACAATTGTGCTTGATAGCGTACAAGAATAGAGAGAGATGGTACTCTAGTGTAATGGTTTTCCATCCCCTCTTTATGGGGTCTTCTCCCCTTTTATACATTCTGATTAAGGGTAAAAATAAGGTAGGTAAATTAATTACATCGTGGATCCCTGTAATTACGCCTTAATGGCCTGAAGTGGTTGAGAAAATCACGTTTGGGCGAGATATCCGGCGACGCTTGGTTATCCGTTACGAGTCCGGCTTCCGACCTTGTGTGTTTCTCCATCCGGTGGTGACTCATATCGAGCTCTGCAATGGTCTCGAAATGACTCGACCTCGGTTGTTGACGTGGCCGTCGTTCTACCTTGCATCCAGGTCGGGTTCGATAGCCCCGACTTGCCCCGGACCGGACCCAACCCGGTCGGGCTCAAGCAAAAAGGGTATCACCCAATACAGATAGTCCCCTCGTTTATTAGAGAGTAATGATAATAAGCGATATGATCGGTGACGTGATGCCCGTGACGTATGGCCATACGCCAGCTGAAAAAGCCATCGAGTGCTCTGACCACGTCTGCTGCAGGCATTTAATGCTTCTCTTAATTATCTGTCGCTTCGTGTCTGTAACTTCGCGATTCGTGCCGCCGCCTCATGGGAAAAGTATAAACGACCCTTCCAGGTTCAACATTTCTTATCTTTCTCAAATTTTGCGTTGGTTGTATTTTCTTTTCATCTCTTCGTAAAGCTTCAAGAAATGGCGAAAACTTCACAAAGTGTTCCTTCTAGACCAANGTTTTTAGCGTCAAGGCCGTTTCAGGTACCGAGGTGCACCTGGTATTTCGGTCGACCCTGGAGTTGTATGTTTCTACTTTTTTATCGTTGGCCTCGATCTTTTCCTCCCCCTTTTCGATTCGTTCGGTCAATTCTTCTAGCCTCCTAAGAACCGCAGAATCAGCATCCGGCCCACCCCGTTCCGGCTGTACTGGGGTCGGATTGATGATTGCAGCTGCACGGGGAGCCTCCTCGGACCTGACAGGCTCCTGGACCCGGCTCTGGAGCTGAGCTATAGCCGATTGCTGGGCTTGCAGCATGTCAAAAATCATTTTAAGGTTGATAGTCTCTTCGCCGACTGCCTGGGCCCTCGAATCGTCCTCTCCCCGGACGCTATGTGATGATCCGGAGGCCTGATCAGTGTTGAGCGCCATCCGGGAATCGGCATCTATCGGGTTTTCGAGCCCGGGCATTCCATTGTTTCCTGTCTGCTGTTCAAGTTCGTTGTTGATTGATTATGCCATTCTATGAGTTGGTAATTTGAATGTAAGATGGACTCTTTTGCAAAGAACCAGTGTACTGTGATGCGTCAAGAAAGAGTATCAAAGAGCTCACTAATATCCTTAGCCCCACGGTGGGCGCCAAACTGTTTACCCTGGAATCCGGATAACAATTGAATTTATATGGGGTTTTAAGGATCCGTGAACTAAAAGATACAAAAGGTTTGGATTGAGGAAAATAAAAGATAAAGACTCAACATGTTTACCCTGGAATCCGGATAACAATTGAATTTATATGGGGTTTTAAGGATCCGTGAACTAAAAGATACAAAAGGTTTGGATTGAGGAAAATAAAAGATAAAGACTCAACAATTGCTGTTAAAGTAAATAATCGCAGAATATAATATTGCTTAGAACAATTGTGCTTGATAGCGTACAAGAATAGAGAGAGATGGTACTCTAGTGTAATGGTTTTCCATCCCCTCTTTATGGGGTCTTCTCCCCTTTTATACATTCTGATTAAGGGTAAAAATAAGGTAGGTAAATTAATTACATCGTGGATCCCTGTAATTACGCCTTAATGGCCTGAAGTGGTTGAGAAAATCACGTTTGGGCGAGATATCCGGCGACGCTTGGTTATCCGTTACGAGTCCGGCTTCCGACCTTGTGTGTTTCTCCATCCGGTGGTGACTCATATCGAGCTCTGCAACGGTCTCGAAATGACTCGACCTCGGTTGTTGACGTGGCCGTCGTTCTACCTTGCATCCAGGTCGGGTTCGATGGCCCCGACTTGCCCCGGACCGGACCCAACCCGGTCGGGCTCAAGCAAAAAGGGTATCACCCAATACACAGATTATGTCCTAAACTTTTCAAACAAATTTCAAGTTGCAAAAAGTGCGAATAGGCACTAAGGATGTAGCCTAGTGGTTAATAAAGTGGTTTAGAATTATGAAGTTTCGGGTTCAATTAACTAAAGAATACTAGGATTTCTTCCCATCTATCAAAGCTTCGGTGAGTAGAGTTACCAGCTACATGTTA